GGGTATCCAAAGTTCGACCCGGCCGAACTTAACGCCTTTTTCACCTGTTAATACTACCAACGTATAGCCTTGAATATTTGGAATCAATATTTTATTTCACCATATGTAATGGACAAAAAGTGAAATTGTTGGCAATGATATCTTCAGAATCATACATGCACCAATAAATATTTATAAACAAATAACATCAAATTTCTTAAATATATTTCTTTGCATAATCATATGTCTGTGTGTGTGTTCATTTTTGAAGATTAAATGTCTGCGAATTTCCATATTTTTTTTTGGTTTTCCTTTCCACAACCCTGACCTCTTTGTTAACGATGCCAACCGCAACCAAATCAAAGAAAGAGAGAAAAGAATTATTAAACTGTATCCAAAAATACAATGTCAAAAGTATTAAAACCACTAATTATTGTGATAGTGAAATGAATATATACGTACACATATATGAATATGCAAATGTATACACATTTGTATAAAATGTCAATGTCGATATATTACTATGTAACACATACTAACATACAAATCGAAAACAGTTAATTACGTATTAAGCATTTGAGACGTCTACAAGAAACTAATATATATATATATATATATATATCAAAAGAATGCCGACCACATTGGCGAAGGATTATTTTTATAGAAAAAATGTTAGTACTCTTTGTTCAAGGATTTGAATTAGCATCACGTTTGCCGAAAATTAATTAGCCAAGTTATATTGCTATTTACAGAGACAAGCTATACCGACATGTTGTATGCTGCTGGTTAACATTTTCCAAGAGTTAGAATTTGTATAGTAAAAAACTATAAAACTTTTCGCTATACACTATACGTAAAAAATTCTTTAGATGTCTACGGAGAATCTCTTCCCACATATAGTCACTATACATGCATGGATGTCATGCATCCATGGCCGTATGGAACCCTTACAAGATGCCAAAAGTAAATAAGGATATGTCTAGAGTTTTCTTCCTTCCTCTTTCGTTTGTTCCGTCTGGATGCAGGGCGGCAAAATTGTCCTTTGTATTTCCTTGTTAAAATTGCAGCAGTAGCAGCCAAAAACCAGCTGCGACAACTACAACTGCAGCTTTGGTAGTTAATGTTGATATTGTGGCATAGTCCGTTGAAGACGACTGCAACTTTTGTGAATGGATAGGTTACTGGTTCTTCACAACTTCCGTTACCAAGCAGTATGTATGCATGTTTATGTTGTTATGGGGGGAACATATATTGCTTCCTATAATGAGGTAGTTGTGAAAATTAGAAGACAAATCTTAAATTACTCACAAAACTTCTTCAAGAAATCCATGACGATTGAAATTATTCTTTAAAACAAATTATATAAATAACGACCCTCTTCTCTAGGGTCTCCCGTGATCACCAATTGTTCTTACTATACATTTTGTTAATAGCCAATATTCCCTCGCAATATATAGAGAATACACATGGCAATAGGAAGTTAATATATTTCTTCTTCTCCTATCATTCCCGCTGTGTGCAAACCAGCCAAAAATCCTCAAATATGTTCCCGAAAAATTAACATGACATCATCAGCAGAGATATTGTCCTCTGATCAAAAAAACAAAAATCTTCTTCAACCAAAAAAGGAAATAACCAACATCAAAAAATTATCATCGTCATTGTCACGACTGTCCTTGCCACTGTCATTCATAGTCATCAAATGCAGCATGGCAATGATGATGACGGCTGTCAAAGGAACATGGTGGCATGCGGCAGTGGCGACAAAATTAACGAAAAAAAAAATCGATTATTCTCCAACCATTCTTGGCTTGCATTTTTCATCATTCCGCCGATGACCACCAGCATACCATGACTACAGCCAGGGTACAATTCAGCAGTAGCAACCACAAGATAATGACAATAAAGCTATGATGAACATGACTATGGTGGACAAAAAGACAACCATTCTTGTGGTCAGCCCTCAATGAGAGAAGAATGCACTGAAATGAAGGACAATGCAGATGCTCAGTTTGGGATTTTCATACTGCGAGAGTAGGGTTTAAGCCAATTTCAAAAACAACCGAAACCACTCCTCCTTTTTATCATTGGTTTATGGATTAGCTACTGGTTTTACACGACCCCACGTTCATGGCATCAATTCAAATGTTAATGATGGTGGGAAAAAAAGATTGTCAAAAATGTAATTTGCATACAAATGAAATACCGCTTTTCTTTTTCGAAGGGAAATAGGTATTTTTATATACCCTGCACAATTATATACATGCAGGTGAAAAAATTCCCCTCACACCTACTAAAAGCATGACCTTCCATAGATCACAGTTTGGTCTTCCATATATCAAAGGCTGCAATTTCATTGATCGAAGATTGGACATTCAGACATCGAAGACTCTTCTTCCTTATGTCGAAGGACTACATTCCATAGGGCGTATACTGGCTTTCCATAAATCGCAGACGTGTCTTCCATAAATTTAAAATTAAGCCTCCCATAGATCGAAGGTATGCTTTTCATAGGAAGAACACTTCAATTTAATATATCGAGGGCTGGCCTACTAAAGGCCGAAAGCTGATCATCCACCTGAAAGACTGACTTTTCGTTAGGATCTCTTGTCTTCCATAGAAAAGCCTGTCATTGATCGGTGGATAGTACTATAGATCGGACGATCGTAGGCTTATCATCAATAGTTGAAGACTTGCCTCCTATAGGTTGAAGGCTGTCCTGGTCATCTCTCTCCACCCATAGATCGAAGCTATCCATAGCTATCCATTGACCGAAGGCTAGCCATCTATAGATCAATAACTAGTCATCCATTGATCGAATGCTAGCCATCCATAGATCGGAAGCTAGACATATATAGATCAAAGGCTAGCCATCCATATACCAAAGGCTAGCCATCAATAGACCGAAGCCTAGCCATCAATACCGAACCGAAGGCTAGCCATCAATAGACCGAAGGCTAGCCATCCATATATCGAAGGTTGACCATCCATAGATCGAATGTTTACCTTTTTATACCCTTCACAACACTGTGGTACAGGGTATTATGTCTTTGTGCATATGTTTGTAACAGGCAAAAGGAAACGAGATAGACACATGGTTCCTTTTGAGAATATGCATAGAATCACTTTCTGAGTCGTTTTATGCATGTCCGTCCATCCGTCCGTCTGTCCGTCCGTCTGTCCGTCCGTCTGTAGATGTTAAATTGTAAACAAAGTACAGGTCGCATTTATGATTCGATTTGGATGAAATTTGGCACAAGTCACTTATTTGGCCCAAGGACGAACCCTATTGAAATTGGGAAAAATCGGTTCAGATTTAGATATAGCTCCCATATATATTTTCGTCCGATTTAAGGTAATTGGGGCACCAAAGTCCCTCTATAGCTTTCGATTTGCACGAAATTTGCCACAGAGTACTGAATTAGGTCCAGAATGATTTGTGCCAAGTTTCGAGAAAATCGGTTCAGATGTAGATATAGCTCCCATATATAGTTTCGACCAATTTAATGTAAATGGTGCACCAAAGTCCCTACATATCATTCGATTTGCATGAAATTTGGCACAGAGTATTGAATTAGGTGCAGATAATGTGTGTCAAGTTTCGAGAAAATCGGTTCAGATTTAGATATAGCTCCCATATATAGTTTCGTCCGATTTAAGGTAAATCGATCTAGGCATAGGGTACTGAATTGGATCCGGAAATATGTGTTACGTTTCGTGAAAATCGGTCCAGATTTAGATATAGCTCCCATATATAGCTTCGTCCGATTTAAGGTAAATGGGGCATCAAATTCCTTATATATCTTTCGATTTGCACGTAATTTGGCATAAAGTACTGAGTTAAGTCAAGAATGATGTGTGCCAAGTTTCGAGAAAATCGGGTCAGATTTATATATAGCCCCCATAAACATTTTCGTCCGATTTAAGGTAAATGGGTCTCCAAAGTCCCTATATATCTTTGGATTTGCACAAAATTTGGCACAGCGTACAGAATAAGGTCCAGAACGATGTGTGTTAACTTTTGTGTAAATCTGTTCAGATTTAGATATAGCTCCCATATATATTTTCGTCCGATAGATAAATGGTTCACCAAAGACCCAAAGTTAGGCCGATTGACAAAATTTTGGCACAACGTATTGAATATAATATAACCTAGCTTGAAGCGACACTGTATCTGACCAATTGAAAAAATTAGTATATGTTGCAGAATAACATGTTTATGGATCGAATTTCATTTTACTGGTCCTTCAAAAATTCGACGTCTGTTAGGATTCATCTGTTGAATATACCCACAGTGGTGAAGGGTATCATATAGTCGGCCCCGTCCGACTTTACTACTTTCCTTACTGGTTTAAATATAAGGCTGGTCATCTCTCTCCACCCATAGACCGAAGGATAGCTATCCATAGACCGAAGGCTAGCCATCTATAGATCAATAACTAGTCATTCATAGATCGAAGAACAAAAAGTAGCCTTCCACAGATCAACGGCTAGCCTAGGCTAAGGCTAACCTACCATAGGTCGAAGGCTAACCTACCATAGATCAAGGCTTACCTACAATATATCAAAGGCTTACCTACAATATATCAAAAGCTAGCCTACGCCTAGTCTTCCACACATCGAATGCCGATCTTCTCAGTTTGTTGTTGATCAGTAAAATAGTTTCGTGTAAACATAGTATTAATTTTCCTGAATATTATTTTCTTCAATAACTTCAAACCTATGTCATATACGACAAAACCTACCTTAAAAAAAATAATGAAATAGTTTTTCAAATGGACAACAACGATTCAAATGAAAGTCTAGATAATCCCAGGCCATCTACCCGCAATAGTGGACCAACAAATTACAACAGCGAATGGGATAAATTCGAACTTCTTGCGTGGAAAAATATTCGAGTGCTATGGGCAAATTGGGAACATTTTGTTATAAACCTTATTTCGCCCATAATATTTTGCACCATTTTAGTTTCCTTACGAATTTCAATGGAGATAAGCAAACAGCCGATAGAAAATTATCCAATGTTAGAACTGAATAACTATTGGAAAGATCTTTTGAGTTTAATTGTCGAGCGCAAAAATCACATGATCGGAGCTGTAGAGGGATTTCAGCACAATCCATTTGTGCCACAATTAATTGTGGGATTTGCACCACAGCTACTGGGTTTTGAAAATATTATGAAGCGAGCAATAAACTCGGTAGGCGGGGTTGAACTCAAACCCTTCGGAAATTGTGAAGAACTTCGTTTCGAAATGATAAACGAAAGTCTTTTGGTTGGTGTTTGTTTCGAAACGTTCAATGATACAAAATCCCATCATCACGAAGATGAATCCCATCTACATACATTGATCGCTGGGCTATATCCGAACTTCTTGAAATATAATCTAATCTTTCCGTATGCCTGCAGGGTCTATCATGATACGTTTATCGGTATTAGTTGGCACACCAATTCCCTGTATCATTTTATTAATCGCACGGCTCAAAGGAATATTGGCCTAGAGGATGGCGGTTATGTCGGATATATACGCGAAGGTTTCGCTTCTTTACAAAATGCCATATCTGTCTCGTATTTGGAATTAATTGCAAAGAGTTTGAAACCTGAATTCATGATACCATCCATTTATATGAGCCGTTATCCTTCAAAAGAATTCGTCAAGGATGATGTCGTCGAAAGCATTGATTTCAGCCTATCTCTAATGATGTTGTTTGGTATTTATTATCCGGTTCTAATATGTGTATCCGTAAGTTACCAAGAAATTATCCTTGCTATTGAACAACAATACCAGAGGTCTCCGGCTGGCCTTCCAAAAAACGAAGACTTTCCATTCGTAGATCAAATAGGGGCGTTTAACAGGTAGACGACTGGCTTTCGATAGATCGAAGGCTTCGCTCGCATATATAGAAGGCTGGTCTTCCGTCGATCGGAGTATAGTATTACGTTGATAAAAGTTTAGCATTTTGTAAATCGAAATCTAGTATTCCCTATATCGATGACTACCCATCCATAGATTTAAGGTTAGACCACCATAGATCGAAGGCTTGCCTATCACAGATAGAAAGGTAGCTACCATAGATTGAAGGCTAGCCAATCATAAATCGGAGGATAGCCTACCATAGATCGAAGGCTAGCCTACCATTGATCGGAGGCTAGCCTATCATATATCGGAGGATATCCTACCATAGATCAAAGACTAGACATCAATAGACGGAAGGCTAGCCATTATACAGATCGAAAGCTAGTCATTCAAAGATCGGTACCCATAGATCGAAGCCTAGGCATCCATAGACGGAAGGCTAGTCATCTGTAGGTCAAAGGCTAGTCATGTGTAGATCGAAGGCTAACCATCCATAGATCGAAGGATAGTCTACCATTAATCGAAAGTTAGGCATCCATAAAACGAAGGTTTGCTTTCAAACCTCGAAGACTTACCTTCCATAGATCGAAGGTGTGCCTAAATTTAGTAATCTTCTTGTCTTTCTATTCTCAACAGTACATTGTCCAAGAGAAAGAAAATAAACTGAAAACCTATTCTCGAATTATGGGTGTAGCGAATTATCTACATTTTATGGGCTGGGTGGCTGATGCGTTTATGAGGGCAATGTTAAGCAGTTTGGTTGTTGTTATATTACTCAAGGTATCGATTATACATTCCACCAACTTCCTACATCATATCTTTCTTTAAAATCCCCTCCCTAATTTCTTACAGATCAAATGGTCGAACGGAGTTGCCATATTGGATCAAAGTGGATTCTTTGCCATGCTAAGTGTTATTTCAATTTACAATATGGCCAGCATTAGTTTTGTGCTGATGATCTCGTCGTTTTATAAGAAAACTCTGGGTGCAGTGGCGGGTACTGGCATCCTATGGTTTGCCACTTTTATACCCTATATACTCTCCCTAAATTCCCTAAGAGTTGCAGTGTGGGAAATGAATTTCTTCGTTATGGTATTCCACAACACCGCCATGGGTTATACGCTGGAAAATATCATCGAATTTGAATTATATGGTGAGGGATTTGATTTTGATCACCTCTTCGATACCCGTCCATTGGATAATACCCTATCGACTGCTTACTATTTGGGTATCATGATGATGCAATGCTGTATCTATGCCTGCATCAGCCTCTATGTGGAAGAATTAATGCCGGGTAATTTTGGTGTGGCCAAGCGGTGGGATTTTTTGTTCACTTTCAAAAAACATGGCAGTGTATTTTTGAACCTGAGATCGTCAGCGAAGTGGAGAAGAAGAACCGATAGTGGTAGTAGTGGTGGTGGTGCTGGGGGTAGTGGCGGAGGTAGTGCCACTGGAAGTGCTCTTGGTACATCGGGTAGCAGATCCACGGCATTTGTCTATGAAATAGCTGGCGGAAGAAATCCCACCTTGGTGGATATACAAAATGTTTGCAAATCTTATGGGGAAGAGGAGGTGGTACTGAGCAACATTAATCTGCAGTTGCATAATAATGAAATTACAATTCTGCTGGGTCACAATGGAGCAGGGAAATCGATGTTGTTATCGATAATAGCAGGCCTGGTACCCCTGACTTCTGGCTCAATTACCATCGACGGTTTTGATATTATCAAAGATCAACGTTATGCCCTTGCTTCGCTGGGCCTTAGTATGGGTGATTCGGTATTATATCCTGATCTCACGGTTGAAGATCAGTTACGTTTTAGTGGCTATCTTAAAGGTATGGTGAGCCAGGAAGTGGAAGAAGAGTTGGAAAAATATTTAAATGCCACAAAACTTAAAGATTATCAAATGCGAATGACAAAAAAATTGCCGCAGGGTGTTAGGCAACAATTGGCCATCTGCTGTGCCCTGATGGGTCAGAGTCGTGTTATTTTAATGGACTCCCCGATGACTCATATGGATTTACCCAGCTGTAATATGATGTGGAAATTGCTGAATGATGAGAAAATCAATCGATCGATTTTGATAGCCACCACCAATTGTCAAATGCTGGAGAATATTGGTGATCGGGTTGTAATCATATCCAATGGAAGGCTGCAATGTGATGGGACACCGAGTTTTATTAAGAAAATGTATGGCCATGGATATCGATTGGTAAGTGCGATTACCGAAGCATGGATAGGTACAGATTTTTTAAAGAATATTTTTTCTAGATCCATAGGAGGACGTGGATTTAGTTGGCGTGGATTATTTTAAGAATATTTCTGGTAATCCATAAGTGGGAGTGGAATAATTTGAGAATATTTTCTTCAAGGCTCTGCTGTGGATTTTTTAGAATGAAATCTTGCCTTCCATAGATCGAAATATTGTCTTTCATACATTATAGGTTTGCCTTCCATAGGTTGAAGTCTAGGCTTCCATAAACCAAAGCATAGACTCCCATGATCGAAGGCTTGTCTCCTATAGATCGAATAATTGTCTTCCATAGGTCGAAAAATTGCCTTCGAAGGCTTGCTTTCCATAGATCTTTGACTTGACATCCATTGAACGAAGGCTTTCGTTCCATATATCGATGGCATGTCTTCTATAGATCGAAGGCTTGCCTTTCATGGTCGTGGATTTTTTAGAATGAAATCTCTTCTACCACAGATCGAAATATTGTACTCCATACATTGAAGGATTGCCTTCCATAGATCAAAGTCTAGGATTGTCATCCATAAATCGATGGCGTGCTTAAATTAGATCGAAAGCTTCCCTTTCATAGATCGAAAGGCTTGCCTTCTGTACATCGATGGATTTTCTTTCCTAGATCGAAGGATTGCCTTCTATAGATCAAAGACTTGCCATCCTTCCGTCCATCCTTCGAAGGCTTGCCTTCCATAAATCGAAGAATTGCCTTTCATAGAACGAAAATATGCCTTCGAAGTCTTGCCTTTCGTAAAACAAAAACATGCCTTGGAAGTCCTGCCTTCCATAGCTCGATAGCTTGCCTTACATAGATCAAAGGCTTGCTATTCATAGATCGCAATCTTGCCTTCCATAGATCGAAGGCTTGCCTTTCATAGATCGAATTCTTGCCTTCAATAGATCGAAGTATTGCCTTCCAAAAATCAATGGAAGTGTGGATTTTAACAAATAGTTGTTAATGAACCATAAACATACCTTGACATACTATAAGCACCCATATTTCTTTTTCAGATAATCCTCAAATCTCCCGGATGCAATGTTGGCAAAATAACCGAACACATACGACAACATATACCACAAATAATACCCCTGTCGAATTTGGGTAATGAACTCATCTATTCATTGGAGGAAAAATATTCAGAGGTCCTCGAAGCTTTAACCAATGACTTAGAGAAAAATATGTCGAAACTCGATATAGAAACCGTAACGCTAAGTTCAATACAAATTGAAGATATCTTCTATAAACTTGGTGCGGCTACACCAAGTCATGAACATCGGCAGCGGCTAATGGAAATAATGAATGGTGAATCCTGCTATCCCGAAGAAAATAAACGTTTACTTTTTATGGATATCACTGAGCGCCTGAAAGGTCTATACCGTTTCCGACAACAATTCCATGGTTTGTGGCATCAACGTGTGCTGTATGCCTATCATTATGGCGATCACTATCTGCGGCGGATAATATATCCGCCGATTTGTGTAATGATTGCCTTTTTCATTTCCGCATTTGGCTTAAGTCAAACGGAAATGCCTGTCATTGATATAAGTCTCGATCAATATCCATCAAGTGTTACCCTCATCGATAAGAGGCCAATGGAAACAAATGATAATTATGTTACTGAAATTATGGATCGATATAAGGAGTTAATTTTCTGGCTGGGTATTCAACATAAATTGGAAGAGACCGACGGTGTACTGATGTCCGACTATTATATTGACAAAGATGTTAAGACCCTAGAACGTATGGATCAGGATCATCATGTGGGTGTCACTTTCGCTGATGATTACATTATTGCCTGGTTTAATAATGTGGCATTGCATTCAGTGCCGTTGAGTTTGAATTTGGTACATAATGCCATTTTGAGGTAAATGAAAAATTTGTAAATAAAACAAAAATAACATATTTGGAATTTATACATTGTAGGTCCCTCTATGGTGACCAATGCGGCATTGAAGTGGCCATGGAACCCTTGAATAACATGAAAAATCACATTGACGGCCTGCTACGTGTCACCATCAATACCAGCAATGTTCTGGCCGTTTGCATTTCGGTGTGTCTCTGCTGTCTTTGGAATTCTATACAATTTATTTTCGTTCGAGAAGTCCGCATTGGTTTTGTCAATACCCAACTTCTGGCTGGGGCTAAAATTTGGCTTTATTGGTTGGTGAATATGTGCTACGACTCTATGGTGATCATCTCCATGTCGTTGATTATCACATTGACAATTTTTATTTGTGAATATAATTTGGCGATCGAACCGTCTATATATGGTAAGAACCTTAAACTCATTGTGCAACACAATCTGAAAATCGATTGCCTATCTACTATGTACTATTTTTATCCCTCCTACATGAAATCCTAAGATGGTTCATTTTTCAAAGAGTAGATTTTTAAATAATGTTTTTCCAGGAACATTGATATAAGACTTGGATTTTTAAAGACTATTTCCTCAAGGACCGTCGATCTAAGACGTGGATTTTTAAAGACTATTTTTTCAAGGACCAGAAGAAGACGTATAATTTTTAAAGAATACTTTTTCAGGGACCAGAAGATATAAGGCTTAGAATTTTTTTAAGAATATTTGTACATGGGCCAGCATTAGCGTAGATTTTATTTTTTCAAAGATCATCGCTATTAGGTGTGGCTTTTTAAAGAACATTTTCTCAAGAATCATCGATATAAGGCGTGTAATTTTTTAAAGAATTGTTTTTCAAAAATCATCGAATATTTTCCCAAGGATCATCGATAAAAAAAAATTTTCCCAAGGACTAGGCAAGGCATGGATTTTTTAACGAATATTTCCCAAGGACTAGGCAAGGCGTGGATTTTTTAAATAATATTTTCCCAAGGACTAGTCATGGCGTGGATTTGTTTAAATAATATTTTCCCAATGATCATCGATATAAGGCGTGGATTTCTTTTAAAGAATATTTTCCCAACGATCATCGTTATAAGGCGTGGACCAGAAGATTTTTAAAGAATATTTTCCCAACGATCATCGATATAAGGCGTGGACCAGAAGATTTTTAATGAATATTTTCCCAACGATCATCGATATAAGGCGTGGACCAGAAGATTTTTAAATAATATTTTCCCAACGATCATCGATATAAGGCGTGGACCAGAAGATTTTTAAAGAATATGTTTCCAAGGACCAGTACAAGGCGTGGACTTTTTAAAGAATATTTTTCCAAGGACCAGTACAAGTCGTGGACTTTTTAAAGAATAATTTTCCAAGGACCAGTACAAGGCGTGGACTTTTTAAAGAATATTTTTCCAAGGACCAGTACAAGGCGTGGACTTTTTAAAGAATATTTTTCCAAGGACCAGTACAAGGCGTGGACTTTTTAAAGAATATTTTTCCAAGGACCAGTACAAGGCGTGGACTTTTTAAAGAATATTTTTCCAAGGACCAGTACAAGGCGTGGACTTTTTAAAGAATATTTTTCCAAGGACCAGTACAAGGCGTGGACTTTTTAAAGAATATTTTTCCAAGGACCAGTACAAGGCGTGGACTTTTTAAAGAATATTTTTCCAAGGACCAGTACAAGGCGTGGACTTTTTAAAGAATATTTTTCCAAGGACCAGTACAAGGCGTGGACTTTTTAAAGAATATTTTTCCAAGGACCAGTACAAGGCGTGGACTTTTTAAAGAATATTTTTCCAAGGACCAGTACAAGGCGTGGACTTTTTAAAGAATATTTTTCCAAGGACCAGTACAAGGCGTAGACTTTTTAAAGAATATTTTTCCAAGGACCAGTACAAGGCGTGGACTTTTTAAAGAATATTTTTCCAAGGACCAGTACAAGGCGTGGACTTTTTAAAGAATATTTTTCCAAGGACCAGTACAAGGCGTGGACTTTTTAAAGAATATTTTTCCAAGGACCAGTACAATGCGTGGACTTTTTAAAGAATATTTTTCCAAGGACCAGTACAAGGCGTGGACTTTTTAAAGAATATTTTTCCAAGGACCAGTACAAGGCGTGGACTTTTTAAAGAATATTTTTCCAAGGACCTGTACAAGGCGTGGACTTTTTAAAGAATATTTTTCCAAGGACCTGTACAAGGCGTGGACTTTTTAAAGAATATTTTTCCAAGGACCTGTACAAGGCGTGGACTTTTTAAAGAATATTTTTCCAAGGACCTGTATAAGGCGTGGACTTTTTAAAGAATATTTTTCCAAGGACCTGTATAAGGCGTGGACTTTTTAAAGAATATTTTTCCAAGGACCAGTACAAGGCGTGGACTTTTTAAAGAATATTTTTCCAAGGACCAGTACAAGGCGTGGACTTTTTAAAGAATATTTTTCCAAGGACCAGTACAAGACGTGGACTTTTTAAAGAATATTTTTCCAAGGACCAGTACAAGGCGTGGACTTTTTAAAGAATATTTTTCCAAGGACCAGTACAAGGCGTGGACTTTTTAAAGAATATTTTTCCAAGGACCAGTACAAGGCGTGGACTTTTTAAAGAATATTTTTCCAAGGACCAGTACAAGGCGTGGACTTTTTAAAGAATATTTTTCCAAGGACCAGTACAAGGCGTGGACTTTTTAAAGAATATTTTTCCAAGGACCAGTACAAGGCGTGGACTTTTTAAAGAATATTTTTCCAAGGACCAGTACAAGGCGTGGACTTTTTAAAGAATATTTTTCCAAGGACCAGTACAAGGCGTGGACTTTTTAAAGAATATTTTTCCAAGGACCTGTACAAGGCGTGGACTTTTTAAAGAATATTTTTCCAAGGACCTGTACAAGGCGTGGACTTTTTAAAGAATATTTTTCCAAGGACCTGTACAAGGCGTGGACTTTTTAAAGAATATTTTTCCAAGGACCTGTACAAGGCGTGGACTTTTTAAAGAATATTTTTCCAAGGACCAGTACAAGGCGTGGACTTTTTAAAGAATACTTTTCCAAGGCCTTGTATACGCGTGGACTTTTTAAAGAATATTTTTCCAAGGACCAGTACAAGGCGTGGACTTTTTAAAGAATATTTTTCCAAGGACCTGTACAAGGCGTGGACTTTTTAAAGAATATTTATCCAACAGTTGTGACTATAACAGGGCTTTTAACCCTTAAGTATAAACTTGTTTAATTAGTGGAGTTAATCGAAGTGTGCACCGAACGCCTCAATTTACAATTTAAATTAAACAACTCGTCATTACAAACATTTTCCAAAATTCCTTTGTTTAATGATCAAACTTTAATATCATTCTCGGCTCCTTCTCCTCCCCCACCCGCCTTCAAAATCATCCAAAAATATCCAGCCTGGTATATTTTTGTTTTTATGCTGGCCGGCTGGTGTATTTATTCCTTGAATTACATGGTATCGCTGTTCTTCGCAAATCCTGTACATGCGTACGCTGTCTTAATGTCCTTTGAAGCGTTCGGAATCATTTGCTTCTGCCATGTCATTGAAGCATTCGAAAAAAGTTATGTGAACACAACAAAGACTCCGTATGCTGGCTACTTCCTTTTCCTGCCGCTGTTTGTCATTTGTAGTGCCATATCGACGGTATATTACAATGCGGAATTTTTGCGGGTGTGCAGCGATAAGGATATACGAATGACATCGATTTATTTGGAAAAATGTAAAGCGGTGCCAAACTGTTGTCGTAAGTACAAAGAAGAAGAAGAAGAAGAAGAACGTTGGTTGGATGGTATTTAATGATTTTTTTCTTTTTATACCCTCCACCATAGTATGGAGGGTATATTAGTTTTGTTTTTCCGTTTGTAACGCATCGAAATACTCATTTCCGACCCTATAAAGTATATATATTCTTGATCAGCGTAAAATTCTAAGACGATTTATGCATGTCCGTCTGTCCGTCTGTCCGTCTGTCTGTCTGTCTGTCTGTTGTAATCACTCTAGCGTCTAAACGAATTGAGGTAGAGCCCCAAAATTTCGCATAGAGTCGTCTTTTGTCTGCAGGCAGGTCAAGTTCGAAGATGGGCTATATCGGTCCACGTTTAGGCATAGCTCCCATATAAGGATACCCCAATTTTCGGTATTTTGAGGTTCTTGAGCGTGTTTTTCAACCGAATTCGCTGAAATTTGGTACTTTGAGTTCTTATTGGGTAGCAAATATCCCCACTAAAAATTATAAATATAGGTCCATTTTTTCGGACAGCCCC